CATATGCTTCCAGCAGAGCTGAGTGTGCAAGGGTGGGGCTGCCCCGGTGGCTACAGTCCTTGTGTCCCCTGAGCAACTTTTCAGCTCCACATTTCTAACAGCAGTACCAATGGAAAACAAGCTACCAATGGACAGTGGGGTTTAGGCCATGTGGATAGAGAAAAGGCCCAGTGATATATGTCAAGTAGTTTATAAATGACTATGCTATAAATTACTCCCCTGTTGTAATGTGCGAGGTCAATATGGTGCTTTGTTACTCTGTAATAAAATAAATAAATGGAATAAGAGATTAAGTACTTTCTTAGGTTATTTGGCCCCTTTGGAACCTTATGTTGTTTTTCTGTTGTATATCTCAGCCTTTAATATTAGTAATTTTGACCCAGGTTGACATCATGGCTCCATTCTCTGCCATGGATGACTTACACTGTTTGTAATATGAAGGTCTGTTGGAAGATGAACCTTTACTGCAGGTCACCACAGATTATGCCTGCACTGCCCAAGACATCCGTCCTCGGATGCTTTTGCTGTTGGGCCCAATAGATATGAAATGCACACAAAGGTCAAAAAAAAGCACCAAGTCTATGAAACTACAACAGACACAGTTTTGGAGGGCACGGAGTAGAACTGGCTCTGCACCAAGGACCCAGTTTATCTGACCTGTGTCGACTTGTGAGTCATCTTTGTGCTGAAGTGTGGCCTCTAAAAGGTCTTGCTCCATGGCAGGTTATGGTTGTGATTGACAGTACAAATCAGTAATGCATGGGGGAAAAAGAACTCATCGGCTTGAGAAGAATATTCAGTTATTCCTCAATGATTGATTATGAGCCTAAAGACATCAAGACTTAACTGATATAAGAACCACAGGAGTTAAAGTCTGGATGGCCTAAAGACACAGACACTGTTAGCTCCAACCTTTGCCTGGAGTCAAAGGTACTGGAAATTTGTCCCTGAGGACACAGATGCCTAATTTTCACTGTAGACAGTGGAAAGAAGGTGGGATGCTGTTCATGGCTGCTGAAGGACACAAGACTCACTTCCTCACCTTTACCATAGTGATGAATTTAAGCATAAAGAGTCCTTCCTCCTCCTCCCTGTGGTCTGCTAACGAGTTAGAAGCTGCACATAGCAAAGACATGGACAGGGCATGTTTTCTTGATGGTCCTGCCTTTTCCAGGGTAATGCTTCAACCTTGTCCTACCCAGCCTGCTGCCTCTCAAGCTGATCTAAGAGCTGCCTTTGTGGATGAAAGGTGTTGGTCTAGAGTCACTTATGCTTCTCTGGGGATCTGGGCATCAGAGCAGAGGGCTTTGTTTTTGACCTGTTCCAGTTAGGAAAAAAGGACAGAGATTCATGCAAAATGGGGAGTGCTGTGAGAAAACAGCTCAGGAATTTACCTTGTTTGCACAATTTTGAAGGGCTAGATAACAAATTAACAGGGCAAAAGGAGGAATGAGAGGAGGAGGAGGTTTCCTTTCTCCCTGTAACTTTCTAGTGGACAGGAATGCGTATATTTTTTTGCGTTTCCCCAGCTTGTCTCTCTCTGTTGGGTTCTAGCAACAAAGCCCAGTTCTCTCGTTGCTCATATCTTCTCAGATGCTGGGTCTGAGGAGAGAGTTTTATCTCCCCCTTAAGTTTCTCTTCCAAGTAGGACATTATGAGCAGCTCTCCCGTGTCTGGGCTTTTCATGTCTAGTTTTAAACACTGCTGGTACCAGACAGGAAGTAAGTTGGCTTTACTAAATGTATTTTAGGGCATTTTAAGCCTTCTTGTCAATACTGGTGTAGTTAAGTTGAAATTAAAACCTGATTTGCTTCTGTTTGAGAGGAAAATTGTTTTTCCTGCACCTTGATCTACTTTCACTGAGGTCTCACGTACATTGGTGGGACTGGATCAGGTTGTAGAAATTTGAGGACTTTTTTTCTCCCATGTTTTTCTTTGTCAAAAATTTCAATTAAAATTTTTGCTACTAAAACTCTATTTTTTCTTCTCAGCATCAATGTACCCCATGTCTAACCACCACAGTAGCATTTTTACTTGGTATTGAATTTTATCACTGAACTTGCTTGTTGCAAATAAAGCCAGGGCTGTTTCTTCATGATGGCACTGGCACACTGCAGTGTGTTTGGGCAACCTAAATCCCACCTAAATCCTTCTGCCTCAGGTTTCCTGCTGGCAGGTGCCAGGTTGCCAGAGGCACCTTGCTGACAGGCAGCCCTAAGCACAAGGACCGGGTGCAAAGGAGGGCTCCTGAGTGTGCCTCCCCATCCTCATTGCATCCTGCTCACAGCATTATAAGCTTGGAGTAGCCATTGTGGTCTCATAACTCTAGAACCAAACACAGGGAACCAGTTTCAAGCTACCAGCAGGTCTAGGCTGCATTTTTCTTCCCAGGTCTTTTTATTGCCCAGAGTGACCTCGTTGGTGCTGCAGGCTGCCTCCTTAACAGTTCCCCCACTCTTAGGAGCTATTGTGGCTGCTGCCACTAGCTATACAACCTCCTCTCAGAGATTGAGCTGCCTGCTTGTTCCTAAAGACAGAAACTAGGTGAAGGTTGAGAGGACTTATCAGTAAGTCAGGGCAGGAGCAAACACACATATTGCCAGGGTGTTGCAAACATCCTCAGAACAAACACCCAAAATCCAGGGAATTCAGTTAAGGTTGTTTAAATCCTTAGTGGTATTTCTGTACATTACAGCATAGACTAAAGGTACACCATATTCAAAAAGAAAATACTGGGAGGGAACACAGAAGTCTCATGCAACATCCAAAATAATTGTAAATTTTCAAAAATTCTCATAAACTTCTACGTCATCTGGAAATGAGTTGATTTCTCTCATACTGAGAGCATTGTATTTTGGTATGCAAAAGTGTTTAAATGTATAAAGTCCAGTTTAAGGCTCTATGACTGCTATCACTGTGACTAACAAACCAGAAATTTCACTCTGATCCACAGCTATAAATCAGACCTGCTTTTCCATCAATGCCCACACTGAGGCTTCTGCATCTGCCTGTTTGGGCTCTCTCAGGTGCTACCAGCCTCAAGCCTCTTCAGCACTGAATGCTTCAAAACCTGATAAGCTCCTTTTGGGTAAGCTCTTCCTTCTTTGTCTTTTGAACTCCACTCTGCCTTTTTAATGCAGACATTTATTTTGTGAGGAGGGTAAATCTTGGGCTTTTTCATGTCCCTGTTTCCTCATCTTGAAATCTGTTTATTATTATTTCTGCAAATACTGCAAAAGGTTATCCTCGCCTTGACTGCTTCTCAGGAGACATGCTTATTCAGGGCTTTAATAATTTATTTCCTTTAATCATTAATTTCCTGTCATTCCTTGGGTTTTGGGCTTCCTAAATCCCTCTTGAGAGATTGCGATCACAGAACTAAACTAAGAGCAACTCTCTTGGGATCTCTAGTAATTCCAGTGCAAACAAAGAAGATATGACACCCAAACTCAGACTTGAAAGGGTAGGTATTAGAAGGGTTTGGACAGGGCTTGAGATTTCCTGATAGGTTATTTCTGTTGAGGTGAGACCTGCAAGATCACATCATTCAGCAGACTCTTCATATTACTAGGGTATAAAGTCCTGTTGTAAAGAATAAAATATGGGATTTCAGTTTCATGGTTCCTTTTCAGTTCTTTGTTACTCATTTCAAATCCACATCGAAATAGATTTTAATTTTTTCTTTCCATGTTTTGCCCATTGGTCCCAACATCTTCACACAGGTTTGTTTCACAAGATCAGAACCATGTCTGGCTGTACTTTATTCACTGTGACAGTATCCAGAGGCTGGCCGACTGCTTTTTATCACACCTCCATAGTCTTCACTTCCTAAGTAAATAAAGAATTAAAGTTGACTTTGTCTGATTTGTCCTCCTAGCTTTTTCTGTTTGAGATAGTTTCCCATTTATTTAATTTCATGAAGAGCACAGTAATACTTCTCTGTAACTGTTCTCAGCTGCTTTCTATCATGGTGGTACAAAACCACACAGCCATCCAATAGCATCTTTTCTTTCTTATCTTCTCCTTTGCTCTCCTTCATCCCTTCTGGCATTTTGCCCTTTTCATGCCTAGCTTTACGATCTGCTGCACAACTATTTTGCATCTAATCCACCTAGTTTTGTGACACTCTGTAAGAACTGATATATAAACAGCAGCCTGAACTGTGGCATCACTCTGAAGCACATGCAGCCCTGCCATCCTAGGACTCACCAGTGGGAATCAGTTAGCTGAACGTTAACCTGATCTGGTTATTGGTGACACAGCAAGTTTTGCTCTGTACCTACATGCCGCTCTGCCTCATGCAAAAATGAGATAGTGGAAAAGGCGTATCTGGAAAATACATCCTTGCATGAAGAAGCACAACACTGCAACAGCCTGAAGTTTTATTAGTCCTGACCACAGTATGATCCCAGGGCAGTCAGACCCCAGTTCCATGGTAGGTGACCCTCTAGGAATGCTGCCCTGTGGAGAAAGGGAAATTGCTCTTCTCTACCCATTCTTTTCATTGGAGTTTCAGCTTGCCATTCTTTAATCACTGTGTTTTAGTGTGTTTTTGGAAAAGGGAGATGAAGTAGGGGGCCTTTCTCTCTCTCTCTGGGAAGGCTGAGAAGGCACTCTGCTTCTAAAAGTGCACCGAGGATTTGCATGTTTGCCTCTACATGCCATTCACTCACCTCCTTTCTCCTTACACAGAAAAGCTTTTTGAAGAGCTTCCCAAGGTTTCTGCGAGGTGCCCTCATGAGTGAATTTCACCACAGATGAGGGCCTGACAAGCTTTGTCGAACAAAACAGAAAATTAAGGTACTTTTCATGTATGTATATGTTTATAAATATTTATTTTAAGCTTTCTTGCATTAATAGATTTCAAATGCAGCAGAAGCATAGCACACACTGCTACTTGGCACCTCCCCCCGCCTGTCCCTGCCCGCAGGCTCCTCCCGGAATCATGTCTCTTCAGTCCACTGAGCGGCTCACCTCTGCGCTTCGGGCAGCGCCACTTCACCAGAACCACCTCCCCTCCTCTTCCTCATCCCTCCCGTCCCTCCTTCACCTTCCTCAAACCTGCGGTCACTTGACCCGGGCGGGGCAGCCCCGTCCCGCCCCGGAGCGGGCAGTGTGGGGCCCCGGGCGAGCTGGGGAGCGCACGTCTTCCCGGAGAGCCGGGATGGAAACGGAATCGCCCCTCGGAGTGAGTAAAACAAGTGCGAAGCAGAGGGGAGGGTGGCATCCGGCTCCTCGGAGGGTCCGGGAGGCGAGGGCAGCGCGGGGCGGGGGTGGCCGTGTCCCTGGTGCCCGCAGTACCCCTGTGCCCGGCGGGGCTGGCGGCGCCCTCCTCGCCGTGGCTGTTCGGATAGCTCTCGTCACAGCGCTTGCTGTGATTCCCGTGAGGTTTTTTTAGCTTCTGGGTCGGCTGCAGCAAATGTTTTATTGATGTCATCGTCAATTGTTCATTAGTTACATGTCTTTCCCGGAAACGCGTGAGGTTTGGCCGTGGCCCAGCGCTCCGGGCCAGCGGGGCTGTGCATGCAAGGCACACTCCGGCGGGGCAAAGCCAGGGGGAGAGCGAATCAGCCCGATGGTCTCAGTATCCCGAGGCTGGAGGATGGTGATCTCTAGCGGCTTTGCACCTTTGAATGTTTTATTGCTTGTTTATTGCATGTGTCTCGGTACTGCCCTCAAAATGTAATTGCTGCCTGCATGCAGAACACCCAGGAGGTCAGAAACCTGGCCTGAACTAGGGGAGGGACGGTAGTTAGAGTGGGTGGATTTTGGCTGGAAGCCAGGTGCCCACCACAGTCTCTCTATCGCTCCCCTCCTCAGCAAGACAGGGGAGAGAATATAAGGAAAGGCTCCTGGGTCGAGATAAGGACAGGGGGAGATCACTCCCAGGTTATCATAACAGACAGAACAGACTCGACTTGGGGAAGTTATTGAATTTATTACCAATCAAATCAGAGTAGGGTAATGAGAAATAAAAAGCAAATCTTAGAACACCTTTGCCCCACCCCTTCACTCTTCCTGGGCTCAACTTCACTCCTGATTTTCTCTACCTCTGCCCCCTGCAGTGCCGCAGGGGGGGTGGGGAATGGGGTCTGGGGACAGTTCACATATTGTCTCTGCCGCTCCTTCCTCATCTGGGGGAGGACTGCTCACACTCTTCCCTACAAACCTCAATATTAGTCCTTCCCATGAGCTGCAGTTCTTCATGGTCTGCTCCAGTGTGGGTCCCTTCTGCAGGGTCACAAGTCCTGCCAGCAAACCTGCTGCAGTGGGGGCTCCTCTCTCCACTGGACCACAGTTCCTGCCAGGAGCCTGCCCCAGCATGGGCTTCCCATGGGGTCACAGCCTCCATTTTGGGCATTCACCAGCTCCAGTGTGGGGCCTTACACAGGCTGAAGGTGGATCTCTGCTCTGGTGCCTGGAGCACCTCATGCCCTTCCTTCTTCACTTACCTTGGTGTCTGCAGACTTGCCTTTCTCACATATTCTCACTCCTCTCTTTCTGGCTGCAGTTGCTGTTGCACAGCAACTTTTTTCCCTTCTTAAATCCGTTATCCCAAAGGCACTACCACCATTGTTGATGGGCTTACTCTTGGTCAGCAGTGAGTCCACCTTGGAGGCATATGGCATTGGTTCTGCTGGACGTGGGGAAGGTTTCTGTCAGCTTCTGCTGCAAACTACTTCTGTAGACCCCCACTGCCAAAACCTTGCCGTGTAAACCCAGCACAGTCGTTAATCACAGCAGCATGTGTAGGGTGGCTTGCCTATCTAGAAGAGGGAATAAAGACACAGTTCTCCTTTGTGAAGTTTAGGATTTAGTCATGAGAGGCAGCAGCTAATGGTTGCAGTTTCATTCCTCCAGGAAGGCCTTAGCTGTACCCTTAACGGTTATATTACATGTCAAGCACAAGTCAGCAGCTGAGTTTAGAGATGACAGTGTGAACAGCTAGAGCTTTGCACAGTGCAGGGAATCAAACAAAAATATGGTCCAGTCACTTTTGTACAGGACTTGATTAGCAGATGGTCAGGGTGCAGTTCCTGCACTGCTGGTGGCTGCCATCTCCAGCCCCAGGTGCTGCGGAAGGAGGTCGAAGAAAGAAGAGCATGAGTTGCTGATCTCGTCTCAAAACACGTCTGTGTTTGCAGGGCCACAGCATATCTTGATCTTGATGTTTCTGCTCTCTGCCAGCTTTCTCCCGGCCCAGCAGGACACTCCTTGTGAAGTGTCCTGGTCCCGCTTAGGCTGGGCGTTGATGGCAGCTTGTGTCAGACTGAGAACCTGCTGCCTGTGGGTTTTGGCTGGGCAATGCCAATGGACCTGTTGTACAGCCTGTCAAAGCCAACTGCAAGGCTCAGTGCCTCCGCAGGGACTTCTTCAGCATGGGCCAGTGCTGGGCTGTCCTGAGTCAATGATAAACTGGTGAAAGGGACTAACATGACAGAAAAACACCTTTTTCTGTTAGCTGTGGGACTGTGCCTGCGTTAGCCCAAGCAAGGCAGTGAGAGCACACCATGGGAGGAGAGGATGGCAGCAGGTAAAACTGCACCCTCGGTCGCATCCTGGGAGTGTTGTCAGTGCAAAGGAGCTTATGTTGGGGTAAGGTGTGACTGTCAAATGGGGCTTATGGGCCTTGCTGCTCCCTGGGGGGCTCTGTGCCTGCTCTGAGGAGGTGTGGATGGCCTTGGGGAACCTTAGAGAATTAGGCTGTCCCAAAGTCTCTGGAAAGGGGGCTGCAGATCACAAGCAAGAGAGGAAAACCAGAGCTTATAGTTAAGTTTCTAGTCGACATACAGAACTTGCATAAGTGCTGCCATATGCTGGAGTGTTGCAGCCTCACAGCTCCTGTCAGCTTCAGAGCTGGAGAAGGATAGACACCATCCAGTCATTTGCAACTACTGAACACCAAAGCCGTTTTAAGCACCTGAAGCCCCTGCCCACACTGATGCTACGTGGTACAGAGACTAGAGTAGAGCAGCCATGGGTGAGCAGTGGTGCACAGTCTGAGAAAGTATAAAACACAGCAAAAGGTGGCAAAATTAGCTGCAGACATATGCCGTCGGAACAAGGGGTCTGCAGGAGGCAGTTCATCATGTTAAATCGCAGAGCCATGGATGAGTTGATCTACCTGAGATCTGAATGTCTTTCCAAGAATAAAACTAGCAGATGTGGCATATAGAGACCATTTGTTTATGCAGGACAAAAAGGATCTGTGCTTTTTCTTTTTCCAAAATAAATCGGTGGGCATTTTTCCACTTGACTTTGCACTAGACCCATCAAATACATTTTTTTTTTAAAATAAGGAGACAAAGGAAGCAAGAGAGAGTTTAAACCACTTTTGTTCCTGCTTACGCAAAGGCCTTGTGTGTATGGATAACTTCAGAGGCAGCTGCTCTTCACTAGGAGGAAAATCCCAGATTACACACTGGACACGTGCAGCGTGTGTCACTGTGCCAGGGGTGCCAGGTATTTCCTTCATCCCACATAGTCCCATTCTAATCTAAACTGGGGTGACTGTACTCAGAGAGACCCATTCAAAGTCACACCAAAGGCACAGCAAGGCAGGCTAGGCAGGTGAATTATTGGCACATCTAAAAGCAGATTTTATCTGTTACATGTGGTATGGACATAAAATTTAGGAATGCAATTCCTGAAGTTGCTTTTCAGATGACCCTATGTGACTGCCAAAAAAAAAATAAATCTATTGCACTGTGTTTAAGGAAATACTCTTCATATAAGCGGTATGGCTCAGCTGTATATTCAGGAAAAACAACCACCTCCTCAAAGTAATCTGAAGAACACTTTGGGGAGAAGCAATCTTGAATGAATGTGCTAAGATGCAGCAAAAGTGATCAGGGACTAGTGAAGGTGTTTGCAGAGTACAAAAGCTGCACAATTACATATCTGACTGCCATTACTGTAGAAGATAAGAAGGAATCATTCACGGGCATAGCTTTTTTAAAACAGATTAAAAAGAAAGGTGTGGTATTAATGAAGGTAATCACTATGCCATGATCTAAAAGAAACCATCACACTAACTGTGGAAAAATAGCTAAAGCCTTAAAAGCAGTGAGAAGAAGGAAGGCTCTGATCCCCAAACCACCACTTAAACTTCAGGAACATCCTAGAAAAAATGAAAAAAAGACATGGAGAGGTTATCTTCATGTTCTGCATCATCCAGGAAATCATAAATTGAAAAATGAACAGAATAACTCTAGTAGGCACTGGTGATGCCATGATTTCTCATCTGGGTTTCATCCTCTGGCACTTCTGCATGACCATTGCAAATTTTGCAGAAGATCCCTGTGCTGGTTTAAAGGTAAACCAGCAGGGGAAATGAACTCAACTCAAAAGAGAGATTATAAGTCAGAATAACAATTTAATAAAATAATACAATAAGTACGATTATACAGACAAACAATTGGTTTTAACCCACAAAACCCAAATATATAACCTAGCACCCTGGGGCATGAAGAGAGTGGTGTTCTTTGGGCCCCCTGAGTCCAAAGGAAAAGGAGAGGGGAAAACCTGTTGGTGAGAGTGCTGTTGCAGTCTGGTCAAGAGTGGTGATTGCAGTCCGGTCGAGAGTGATGGTTGCAGTCCGGTTGAAAAGTGGTGGTTGCAGTCTGGTTGAGAGCGATGGTCTGCAGTCTTCCTCTGGATCTCACAAGTGGTTAAAAAGGTCCCAAGACTCCAAGATTATATATTCTCCAGTTCAGGCAGGAATGCTCAGTACCTCCCTCAGGGCGGGGGATTCCTTAATGGGTGTGAGGACAAGAGCAACTCCTATCTCGCAGGCCTCTTAGCACCTAGTTTATAGCCTGAGGAGTCGGGCTCTATGTGCAGATAATGTAAATGGTTCATTGATAACAGTTTCTGGGAAATGGCATGGAAGGCTATAGAATACACAGTTTTGGGTTACACCCATCCAGTGATGAACTGGTCTCAGCTGTCCTAACTAGGACAATCCTGGAGAGGCCTGTATCCAAGAAGAACAGTTCCAGAGTAATTTTCAGGAAGATCTGAGCAAACTGAAGTACTTATGATCATGGACTCATAGGGGTGATAAGAACAGATCAAGACATAAGAAGATGAAGGTTTTCCTCTTTGACCCCAGAAGCCAGCATGACCTGCAAATACAGTACCCTGACATCTTTGTAAAGGCTTTTCATGGCAGTACTGTTGTGACACCCAATTTGATCCTTTAAGGTAAGTATTCTCCAGGGACTTGAGGGGAGCAGACCCAGCTACTGTCCCAGCGCTGCCATCAGTCCCCTTGCCGTGTGCCTGGGACTGCAAAGGGTAAAGGAATGGACGTGGTTTCACTCTGGAGGTAGGTTACTCCTTGTGATTTCACAATAGCCAGTGTAGACAGTAATTTCTTCATACCAATGAAACTGCATATATTTGTCTTGGCTCTGCTTTTTTTTTCACTTGGTAAGTTTACAAACCTGAAGATAGAGCCCTCCCTTGGCATTGTGCTGAGAGACAATGTCATCAAAAGAAGCCTATGTTGTGGCTGAGAAACTCTTGATGTTTTGCTGCAACTACCTGAGAGAAGGATTGACCTTTTTTTGCATCTATAAATCCATTCTGCACAGGTGAAATGTCATTAATTCAACCACAGTATATGGAATGGTTTATGTTTTTTCTTTTCCCAGAAAACCCTATGAAGTCCCAGAGCAGGCAGGCACTAATGCAAAATGCCTTTGCAGACCTTCATTCACATGTGCTGTGAAAATGGCCAATGGATGTCGCGATTACCAGAGGAGCTCTGGGATATTCCCCTCTATAACTTAGCTCTTCCAGGTAAAGATTAACTTTTGCTCTCCACTGTTTTGTTAGCTTGTCACTTAAGCATTGGAACATCCTGTTTGTCCCATTTTATGATGGCTATGTTTACAATTTGGGTCAACGTGTGGGAGAAGGGATTTGGGGAAGGGCCTGTGTGATGTTATGTGTGTGTGAATAATTTTGGTCTGTAATGTTTGGGGTTTCTCAGAGGGGAGAGGGAAAAAAGGAAAAAAAGAGGCACTTTTTTTTCAATCCCTCTGCATCATCTTGCCAGATCAGTATTAATAATCTAAGCATTTGCTTATCTGGGCATTGATGAAATTTTCCTAATTAATTCTTGCCACTTCCTGTGTAATGAAATGGTTCCAAAAAGAGAGAAATAACATTTTGCCTTATTATTTGTTTCTTTGTACTGCTTAAAAGAGGCTGTGAAGGTATGGAAAAAGGAGAATTGAGACTTTTAATTGACATGTTTTTATTTATGTAGACTGTGCTACATGATCCTGCTTGCAAAAACTGCATTTATCCTACCATGTGTAGATGCAGCTAAGTGACACCTGTGTATCATTAGCCTTTCTTTGGTCATAATGTTGCTTCTTCCTGCTACCTTGACATTTTTTCACCCTCATTCTGTCAAAGAAGTTACAGTATAACAGTAACTTGGGAACATGGGGAGGCACTGGAGGGCTGTGAGCTCTCCCTGTGCCTCCCCATCAAAAATGGTACAAAAGAAGTGTCTAGCCCATGTTTTCTCTCATAGCTGTAGATGTGACAGGTAGTTTGGGTGGAAAGCAGCACAGTGTGTAGATTAATGTTTTGTGTAAGCTACAGGATCATAGGTTAATTTTAGGAAAGACATATATTGAGAAACAGTGTGAAGTCTAGTCTTCAGTGAGTGGAGCGCTAGGAGGACTCAAGAACTGTAGATTTTTGGGTTTGTTTCTATTAAAATTTAAACCTATAAACTTATCTCAAGGTGACTTCTTAGATATGTAATTTGAGTTAATGTTAGCTACAGAACAAGCACATGTCTGTTTAGGATAAAGCCTATATAATAGGACTCAGGATAGATGTTATTAAAAAACCCCTAGAATTTCTTATTTAACCATCAATAGAAGAAAATATGTATCTGTCTTTGGAAAGAAGAAAGAAAGTATTAACCTCCTATTTTCTGTTTTTCTTTTTGTTCATCTTGCAAAAATCCTTCAAATAGTCAGTTGCATGCTCGATGGGGTTTTGTTTTTGGAGAGAAGGAATCATGTTGTTTCTAAAAGGCTTTCACGGTGGTGTTTCTTGGACATTGTAGAAAGTGGAGAACCTGCTGATGTGTGCTTTTGACTTTCTGGCTCTCCTCCTAATGGTGACCTTGTTATTCTTGCAAATGTTTGTTGTTCTTGTGAGTATGCCTGCAGGGAGAACAGGCATGAAGAAAAGAATAGTTGAAGGCAAGCCCATTGCAGCAAACATTGGAGGACTTTTACAGAGTGTTGCAGGCTATTAGCTTGGAATATTTTGGTGGCTGTCCAGCTGACCTACAAAACTGATCTAGCCCAAGTCAGAACAAAAACAGATCAAGACCAACCAGGTCAAGACAGCTCTGGCAGGTTTTTGAAGGGAGGAAACACAGTTTGGAAGTGGAAGTTTATGTCATAGAAGTCATGCAAGAAACATGAATGTGACAGAGTGCATTCTGAAAGCATGATGAGGAGGCAGAGGCAAATCTCAGTAATTAGTGTTGTGCTTGCACCAGATCCAGCACAGTTCCTCTGGGGAGGTGTTGATTCAAGCTCTGAAGCTACCTGGCTTGGTGCTAGCTCACTATCTTTGCATCATATTTGTTGTGTCATGGGTATATCCATCTTCCTTTCATTACTGTAACTCACTGACATCACAAGAAGAATCCTAAGTAAAAGATTACTATCTTTTTGCTGGTTGGCATCAGTGGATGCAACGCCCATTGATGGAATCCTGCTCACCTCTCTCAGACTTGGATTTGGTCCATGGGTGTTTAATGACTCTTACATGTTCTAAGAGATACTTCTTTGATTGCATGCCCACAATATCGATCTTCCATCTGCAATGAGGTTGGTTTGGGTGTCTCAAGAAGGAAAATAGATGGAAAGTGGATTTTAAAAGGTGAAAAAATAGAGTAAGACATTAAACTATTATTGACAGTTTAAAAGAATTCAAAAACAATCTTGTCTTTTTTTCTTTGGCTATTAGAAATACTGCCATAGGCACCAGTAAGACTGACCATTCAAAAAGGCAGTTCCTAGCAACAGTAAACAATTTGTTTGAAGACAAACCTAAAATCCCAAAATATGCATTTGCAAACACTCTGTAAAGATCCAAGCAAGTCACTTGACTGAACTGTTGGCTTTTCTTTTTGATGCTTTATGACAGTGAAAGAAATAATGGAACAGAAAAAGCTAGCAAAATCACTGGTTTCCTGAAGAAATTGCGAGTTGTAATAGTTTCATCTAAGTATGATGCAAGAGATGTGTCAGATTTATTAAGACTTCAAAGAAATCAAATATTTGGGCAGCCTGTACTTGGCTCTGTTGCTTAGGCTGCCCCTGTGCTGGAAAGAGTCAGGTAATTCTTGAAGTGCATAGAAGATGGATTTTTTTTCATCTATCACACATAAACTTGGACTTGAATTTACCTCTGAAACCTTCAAGCACCCACCTCTTACGTTGGTTTTGTAGGGTATTGAGGGTTTAGGTCAGGAGGGCTTGTTTACCAGATATTTAAGATATAAATGTTTAAAGTGCCAAGTTAGGAGTTGGTCCAGTCAAAAATGTAAGAAGATTAATTTCTGCTTTCAGTCATATTTTCCTGTGCAGAGATGAGGATTTCATTGGAGAATGAAATCCTGCATTTGGACAGCTCTGAAAACAGGACAAATTCTAGATAAATTCAGCCTTCAGCTATTCCCTGAAAAAAAAAAAAGAAGTGGGTTTTCACATCAAGATTATTATTTCAGTGAAAGATGCTATTTGAAACAGGCCATTTTATTGTGGTTTTGGGCAAACGATGTGTAGTTTAGATGGGGACTATTTTCTTGGAAAATCTTGATGCCTTCACTTCACAAGGATTTCACACTAAGCTTATTAATGTCAAGTGAGCAACCTCTGTAAAAGAGCCCACCTTTTTGCCATAACTACATAGGCTGTCAGACAACATAAGTGTGTGATTTATAAATGGGGTGGTGTATCATGTATGCACATGCAATATAACCGTGGAATGTGGTCTTTAGTAGTTAAGAAATGAGATTTTCTGTACATCTATTTTTGTATTCTACAGGAAGTCATGACACTATGACCTACTGTTTGGATAAAAGATCTGCTGTTAGTGGCAATGAATCCAAGGTGGTGAAGTTTTTAAACAAATGTATGCCCTGCATTGTGCGCCCCATTATCATGAAATGGTCTATCACACAGGTAAATGTCATTTAGCATTCTCTTCATGTTTCAGTAAAGTTGAAGCTTGTGCTGCAGGGCTGAGAGTGGCCAAACTCTGCCATGCACAATGACAGAATAGCCTGCTGCCCAGAAATCTGAGCTCTCCTCAGATGCTCTGCTTGGGTGTTGTGGTTTAACCCCAGACAGCGACTCAGCCCCACACATCTGCTTCTCACTGCTTCTGCGTGGGATAGGGGAGGGAATTGGAAGGGTAAAAGTGAGAAAACTCCTGGGGTGAGATAAAGATGGTTTAATAGGTAAAGCAAAAGCCATACATGCAAGCAAAGCAAACCAAAGGATTAATTCACCACTTCCCATTGTTTTTCTATTGTACTTTGTTCAGAAGGTAATGCTTGTCATTTTTCTATCACTGTTGTGTGAGATGTCAGTTGTTTTCCCCATCCATACTGCGTGAGTATTTCATCCAGCAGCGGAGTTAGAAGAATCCCTCATTGAAGGAATTTTTTTTCCCCATAAAGATTAAGAGAATGAAGGTGTGTTCCTTCATGTAAGATTTAGTTAATTTTTTTAAATGTCCAAATATTAAGATAGTAGTTAGCTCTTTGTTCCATACAAATGTATGTTAAAAACAAAATTGGGTGTTGTGATTTAAGCTAGAGATTTCGAAGATTTTTCCAAAGAAGAGACTTTTCTGACATGAAAGAGGTGCCAAAAATCTGTATGCTTTTCTTCTTATTGAAGGAGTGGTCCATTATTATGGAATTAAAACTGAAAAATTGATAAATTTTAATAAGTATGCCTAAGTTTTTATTGTGTTTGCGCAGCTCTGGTAGACTGGAATCTTAGACACTACCAGGGTATGTGTAATGGCAATGATGAGCTGATGTAGAAAGGCACTTGCTTAGCACAGTCTTATTTACCTTGAACTGCTTTTTGCTTTGGGACTCAAGCCAAAGAAAGATTTAGGTATCTCCTCACTTGTAGGTTTCTGTCTGGTGAAGTGACACTGTTGGTGACAAACCATCTCCTAATATCATTATAGTAATTTCTGGTCCAAATCCAGTGTGGGAAGTGGCCCACTGCTCATAGGAAAGAGGCACAACTGCAGTCCTACTCTCCTTACCTCTGTGGTGCTCCAGTTATCTTTGTGAGGAGATGACTCCACCCACTGGTATCCAGAACACATGTGAAGGAGCCCTACTGATGGTAGGACCCACAGGTTCTTGGATGGCCCAGTGCCCAGGAGGAGGTGCCTGCTTGAGCCCTGGCTGTTATGGGTGTCAGTCTAGAGGCCCAAATCTTTCCTGTGTAACTTCCGCTCATGCTCTGAATGCAGCACCGAGCAGCATTGCTCCCCAGGGCTTCCTTTTAAATTTTGCCCTTTAGGGGGCAATGTTCACACAGGCTGATTCAGTATCCAAACGCAGGTGACTCATTAGAGAGTCTGGTTTGTCTGGTTTTCCCATGCTGTCAACAGAAAGAAATTGACTCATCTAAAGGGCAATTTCCAGCAGCTATTTCACCTGATGCTCCTTCTGGCCTGAAAGGTTATATGTGACCTACAGCCACACACATTCCCATCTCCAACATGCTCCAAGCAAAGGGGCCTGGATCACCCCTTCAACTATTCCAGCCTGGTGTAGCCCCAGCAGGCACAAAGAGAGCTGTTGGCCAGACCGACCGCACCATCTGAATCCTAGGGCACATGGGGCTGGCCTGTCCCAGCCCAGAACCACAGGCACAGCCTGGGGAGATAAAATTCTTGTCCAAAAACCAGGAAGTTAGGTGGTTGAAGCTAGGCAGGGTGAGCATCCTGCCATGTGTCATAAGTCCTGTCTCAGCCCTAAAGCTGTGATTGTGGTTATTCAGGAGCAATGCCTTGTATTGAATCCTTTCTGGCTTATATCAGTCCCGTGTATGCTTTCTGAAACCTGATAGTGTTTTACATAGCAGGTTGAACTGAGACAAATTAGTGTTTAAACATATTTAATTAAATTGATTCTATTTTCTTACTCAAAGAGAATCTTAATAGATGTAAAACACATACCATTTGGGACTTTTTGCCCCAGAAACAGCTTTCTCACCTGTTCCATTCAGCCCTCAAATCCAGAGGAAGAGGTTTGAGGGAAGTGGAAATAGAGGACTGTCTCTGTTTTGTAGGACTTCTACAGGTTAATTCAAACTTTATAAGAAACTTTATCTTGAAAAAGAGCAATAATCACTAGTTTTTTCTATTTTTGTTTTTCCTTCTTTTGAGGATGAGTGAGCTCTGCAGAGACAACCACGGTAAAGTCTTTGATCTAATAAAATAAATGCAGCATTTCTAAGGTGCTGATCCTGCAGTTGTTGTTCATATGAATAATTGTGTGACGAGTGATCATGTATTTATGCACAGGTTAATGGATCTTTTGCTTTCAGAACACAACAAGGGCAGTGCTCTGAAATTAATCTAATCTGTACCTGCAGTATACTCTTCAGGGAAATTTTAATTCCTCTTGTTCAGAGAGTGAGATACTTCAAAGCTGCAACTTGGTGCCATAGAGTGACATTTTAAAGACAGAAGACCTGAGAAAAATGTCATAGGGCTGACTTTGTACACCTTTTTCAGCTTTCTAAACTAAACAAACAAATCCCTTCCAAGCTCTCAGGACCTTTGTTTTCTGTTTCACCTTTCAGGTCCTGACTGTGACAGAGCAACTTGAGGCTGGAGTTAGATACCTGGATTTCAGGATTGCCCACAAGGCTAACGATCCATCTATGAATTTGTACTTTGTGCACATGGTTTACACAACTGTTACTGTACAGGTATTTTTCTTACCTTTGTGATGGCTATAAAACCAGTGCTGTTTCTTTTATTTAAAATCCATCATAATCTGAAAATGCTGGTCCAAGGTCTTCTAAGTAGGGTATTTGTTTTCCTTATGTGAGGACTTCAAACTAGAGAAAATCAGCAGGGCTGGAAATTAATTTCAGCAGCTGCACTTGATACTGGAACATCAATGAGCTCCTCATCCTCAAACCAGTCATGCCTGCTCTCCACTGCCTAGCCCCTACCAAGTGCCTGAAGTTCTGGGGTTTATCTTGTATTGTCTCAGGATGATACCCAGGGCAATGCTGTTTTCCTGGTAGGGGGAAAAGTTATTAAAGAGAAGAAGGCATTAAAAGCCTAATAAAAATCACAGAAACACCTTTTTTTATATATATAAAAAAAGAAATATTTCACTGAAAGACTGAGAGACTTAATGTGGATCCTATGATCAAATGACTGTCAGCTGCTGTGAAGCAACTGCTGTGAGCTGGTCTTTGCATGTGCTCTGTCATCTTGGAATACTTTACATCTTCTTTCCGTTTGTTGGGACCTGTACAGCCAGGCACAGTCAGCTAATAAAGCTTTTAATTTGCAGAGTAACTGGCTACACTTCAGTTTCAGACTCATGAATCTGAACTCTTCATGTGTTGAGACTTCATGGTGTCTGGCACACTCCTGTAAACAGATATAATGCCTGACTACTTTGCTAGTTATGTGTGATCTTCATTTAGTTGTCACTGCCCATACCAAAGGGGGAAAATGAGTCCTGTTATGTTTAAGCACAGAACTTTTCCCTGTTTTTGAGTTCGCCACTGACATGTTGGTTGTCCCTAAAGAAGCTTGGGGAGTTAGGTTTACTGCTAACCTGCCTATAGGCAGTAGGATGTTCACAGATACTATCAAAATACAAAGCTGGTAAGTCTAGTGTGCCAGAACCACATCCAGAGCAAACTGGCACAGATCTGTGAAAGTAGGTTTTCCTGGGACACATCTCTCTGGAAGCCCTTTTGGGCAGTCTGATGGCCCCCTCCAGAAATCTATACTGATTTTCATGATTGTGATTGTGAGTCTACTCCACCACCAATGCTCTGTTGATTTTATGCCCTTTCCCCTGCATAGCAGAGATAACTTTATAAGTTTCCATAACTCTCTCCTCTAGGATACTCTGTGGAAAGTATTAAGGTGGTTGGAAGCTCATCCTCAGGAAGTTGTTATCTTAGCCTGCAGGAATTTTGATGGATTAACCAGGAGACTTCACAGTCATCTTGTTGCCTGTATAAAAGAGATTTTCCAGTGTAAACTGTGTCCCAGGAATGTAAGTACGAGATCCTTTTTTTCTCCTTTTTTAAAGAATGATATATTACAGTGAGATCTACGATTTCAAATTTTTAGATATATTTTACTTTCACTGAGTTTTTAACCTAGGAAAGGTAACATTTGCTGCATCAGAGATAGGTGTTTACCTAATAAAATTGAGGAGATAAAGGAAACCTACATTCCACAGTGAGAAGGTGTGCTGGTTTAAAAGTAGACAGGTGGGAGAAATGAAGCCGACTCTAGAGATTATAAGTCAGAGTTACAATTTACTAAAAATAAATCACAATAAATGCAATGATACAGAGAAAAACTGGTTTTAACCCACAAAAACAGATGTATAACCCCACACCCTGGGACAAGAACAGAACAGTGTTCATTGGCCCCTGTGCTGGGCCCCCTAGGTGCAAAGCAAAAGGAAAACCTGTTAGTCCAGGTGATGGTCGCAGTTCTGCTGACATAATGATCGCACTCTTGTTGAGAGTGGCAGTGGCAGTCCTGTTGGAGTTCTGGTCCTCCTCTGGATCCAATGGGTGGTACCAGAAATCCCAAACCCCAAGATTATATATGCTCAGGTTCAGGTGGGAACGCCCAGTACATCTGCCAGGGCAGGAGTTTCACAATGGGTGATTTAACTCTGTGAGTCATGGGATATTTTTTTGAGTCTTTGATGGTCTAGGTGTTGCAGCTGCCTATTATGTCAGTCCAGTATGGCCCATTAGCAAAGATGACCCCTCAGGCTGAGTCTCCCCAGAGCTGAGTCATTAGGTGTGCCCTAGGCAGCTACTGCAAATGACCCATTATTAGCAGTCCATCAGAAATGACATAGAGAGTGTAGAATACACACAGTTTTGATTGTACCCACACAGTAATAAACTGGTCCTGGCCCCTGTAACTAGGACAGAAGAGGGAATTAAATTTGACTGGTCATATATGTTGATGAACTGTTGTGGGACAATAGTAGAGACATAACTCTCATCCACTGTCCTGTGTGAGGGGAAAGGGAAAGGGAAAGGGAAAGGGAAAGGGAAAGGGAAAGGAAAGGAAAGGAAAGGAAAGGAAAGGAAAGGAAAGGAAAGGGGAAAGGAAAAGAAAAGGAAAGGAAAGAGGAAAGGTATTTGTGTTATAAATATAGTACAAGCTATGTTTATAGAATTTAAAGAACCCATTTTCTGCCTTTTCACAGCAATAATTATAAATGGATTTTTATGCTATTTATAATAGTTTAGGTTGGAAGTGACCTCTGGAGATCATCTGGTCCAACACAACCATGCAAAATAGGACTAACTTCAAAGTTATGTTGGGCTGTGTGCTGTCCATTCTTGAATATCTCCAAACATGGAGATTCCACAATCTTTCTATACATTTGTTCCAACATTTGGCCACTCTCACAGTGTTTTTCTTCTCTATCTGATCAGAATCTCTCTTGCTGTAACTTGTGTCTGCCAGCTGCCATCCTTTGCTACACATATCTTTGGAGTCTTCTCTACATCTCTCCATTAGGTATTTGCAGACAGCAGTAAGACCTGTCCAGTCTTCTCTTTTTCATGTTGAACAGACTCAGCTCCCTCAGCCTGTCCTTGTGTGTCATGCTCTAGCCTCTGCTCACTCTGGTTGCATGCTGCTGGACTCATCCACCACATCAATGACTTTTTTGCAGTGGGGAAGCCCAGGCTGGAAACAGTGTTTGAGATGCAGTTCCACAAATGCTGAATAGAAGGGAAGAACCCCTTTTCCTGACTTGCCATCTGTGCCTCTGCTAATACAGCCCAATTTACAGCTGACCTTTGCCACATGGGCACACAGCTGGCTCACGTTCAGCTTGATGTCTACAAGAACCTTCAGGTCCCTTTCTGCAAAGCAGATTTCTAGCCAGCTGTCCCCAGTCTGTCCTGGTATGTAGGGTTAGTCCATTCCGGTGCAGGACTTTGCATTTTTCTTTGCTGAGCTTCATGAGGTTTCTGTCAGCCTGTTGAGGTCCCTCTTAACGGCACCTCAGTTCATTTCTGGTGGCATTGACTTTTTTTTTTTTGTGGAGCTGACCTTCCAACCAGATTTCCAGTCATCCAAACTTCCAGAAAAGCCTTAATTTAAATCATCAGAAAATATTTGATTGATAGATTTTAGAAGTTGAGATTTTTAGTTTCCTCTTCCCCCCCCCTTTTTTTTATGAGGTATGGGAGCTTTTAGTAGTTAAACAATTAACATTTCAAAGATGCACAGGAACAGAGGGTTTTCTCTGGAGATGTAAGTGGTACAGGAGAATGATGACCCTGTTTGTGATTCAAATCCAGCCTTTGAAGCTGGTGTATAAGTAACAGTGAGTATTACCATTTCAAAGCATTTAGTACAGCAGAGTTAAAATAGAACAATTCTCAGCAAAACTAGGGGATTCTGAATATTCAGGCCTCAGCTGAATAACTGAAGACCTGAGTGACACTGTTCTATTGTTTCCACAAATAATTTGAGTGTGTAAGTTGCGGATGAGCAGAGTGATACTGGAGAAGATGGTCAAATTTGCCTTCAGATACATGGCCAGAAAAAGAGTTATTAACTGCGAAAGGGGTGAGCTGCTGCTGATAGTTTGTTGAACAAAGGTGTTGAAAGAATGGTTTGAGATCAATTCACCAAAGAAAGAACATTTCTGAATTGTGTCCAGGGGAAGGGAGGAGTGGCACTGCAGAAAAGACAAGCCAAGTACTTCCCTTGAGCAGGAAGACTTTATCTGTATGGAGTCTGTGACCAGCACAATGGATCTCACCATTTTTGCTGGTGGTACCATTGCAGGTTTGGCAACTGTGGGATTTTCCAGGATCACAGATTCAGATTTAATATCAAATATCAAAGTGTTTACTCACTTATTCTAAAATAAACTGCTATCTATTGTCTTTCAATACTGCATCTCTGTCATTATAGAAGAGTAAGTGTCAAAGTGTTTTGAAGCAGCTGCTAGGTTGAGGTCTGTATGTAGTACTGGCACAGGCCACAGCGTGACAATATTACATTGTGTTTGAAATTTTAATTGCCTTAACTATTCAAGGTGTCTTCCTTTGATCTGGATTACTAGGGTTTAAAAATCCCTTGTCAGACACGTACAGTTTCATTTTTGCTTTGTTTGCAAAATATGCACCTGTGCTC